GGCCCTCGTCCTGGAAGAAGGGAAGGATACAAAGATCATGCTGACGCTTGCACCTTTCGCCAGTCTGAAAGACTCTTGGTATTTCTGGGTTGTGAGGTCCCTCGTTGCAGGCTCTTGGGTGGACCACTGCAAAGGCCAGGTCCGCATGGAGAAAGACACGGACATGCCCGCATCTGGAAGCGATATTACTCCACTGCAACACGCTACCCCAGCAGCTCTTTGGTACAAGTCCATGTCTGATGTGGGCTACAACTTCGGCAAGGCCTTCCAGAAACTTCAGTCCGTCGAAGCAACATCCGGATCAAGACAATGCAGATCTCAAGTCGACTTCAGCTTCCCAGAATCCGATTTTACGCAGTCAGCGTATCCTATCCATCCTGCAGCATTCGATGGCTGCATGCAATCCTGCGCCCCGGGGCTCTGGCGCGGCATCAAGAGTAGCGTCAACGCGGTGCTGGTCCCCGCCATCATCGACGATGTCGTCGTCAAGACAGACACAAATCTGCGCGAAACCGCGATCTCGGTATCGAAGACTGTATTTTCCGGGCCTGGTCGCAAAGATCTGGCCAAGAACCATTCGTCCAGTGCGAAGGTCTACGATCCCTCCACGGGCGGCCTCGTGTTCAAGTTGACTGGCCTGCACTACCACATGCTCGATTTCCAGGATAATCCATACGCTGCTCACTCATACAGCAGATTGGTCTGGGGCCCAGATCTTACACTGAGCCCACAGGCCTGCGGGTCGATCAAAGCCGCGGGTTGGCAACAAGTTCGAGAGATCGCGGATCTGATCGCGCACAAGAAGGCTAATGCAAAGGTAGTCGAAGCTTCACTGATTCCCGGAGAATCGGCTAGCGTTTGGCTCGAGGGGTTGTCTTCCGCCTCCAAAGTTCGAAACGCTTTCAAGAGCTACACCTTCTTGACTCACGACGCCCCTGCAATCATCGACGCTCAAAGCAAGTACGAACAAGTGCCTAGAACTTCGTTTCAGCTGTTGGACTTGGGCAAGCCTCTTGAGAAAGAGCCCGACGAGTCGCTGCGAGATACTGACCTCGTTGTCCTGCGTCTGCCGCCAGGCGCACAAGAGACCATCGAAGTGATCATGGGTAACGTCCAAAAGATTCTCGAGACCAACGGACACATCCTGGTACTCGAGCAGCGTTGTCCATGGAACCCGGACGTGGACGCGAGCCTGGCTGGTGGGTCTGCGACAAATGGCTTTTTGCGCGATAGTGCGGAGCTTTTCGACTCCCGTGGCTTCAGGGTAGTGCATACGGTGGACTGCGGCGACTCTGCATCTCTGTCCCATGCATACCTGGCCGTCCAATCTTACGACCAAAGCGAACCGACCACCTTGCCTCTCGATGTTGTACACTTGAACGACCCTGGGCAGGTCTGCGACGCGATTACGAAAGACCTGTCAGATCGTAGTTGGGACGTCAAGCACGTTCGCCTTGAAGATCTCGATGAACGTCTTCGCAAAGACGCGACCGTCTTAGTAATCTCAGAGCTTGAGACGCCGCAGCTGCCGACTCTGTCGCCTGCGCAATGGGTCGCTGTCCAGCAACTCCTGCAGATGAGGAACAAGATTCTTTGGGTCAGCAAGGCGGCACAGTGGAAAGTCACGAACCCTGATGGCGCTATGATTCACGGCCTGTGCAGGAGTGTTCGCACCGAAGACCCGTCCATGAAGCTTACAACTCTCGATATCGAAGACGCGACCAACGAACACGCAGTGCCGTCCATTGACCTACTACTGAGGGAAGTGCAGAAAACGTCGTCTATCAAAGGCTTTGAGGGCGAGTACGTGGAACGCGATGGCGTTCTTCACGTCAGCCGCATCCTTGGCGATGATGACATCAATGCAGCCGAGCAGGCGAAGACGTCTGGCGCCCTTCCCGTTGATCTGCGACTTCACGAAGCTCCAACAACGGTCCGTTTGATCGCCGAGCGCGTGGGACAGATAGATTCGCTCCACTACGTTGAGGTTGACTCGGAGGAGCTGCCCTTGGCCAACAACAAGGTCGAAGTAGAGCTCTTCGCCTCCGCGCTCAACTTCAAAGATGTCGCCGTCACCATGGGCATTGTCCCGGAGAACAACCATCTGCTGGGCCTCGAGGGCGCAGGAGTGATTCGCCGTGTTGGCGCGAAGCTCAACATACCCTTCCATGTTGGTCAGCGCGTGCTGGTGTTTGAGAAGGGCACATTCGCGAATCGTATCATCGCCACTACTGAGCGTACGATTGCCATACCTGAGTGGCTCTCGTACGAAGATGCTGCGACACTGCCGTCTGTGTACTTGACGGCACTGTACAGTCTGTTCGACCTAGCGAATCTCAAGCATGGAGATCGCGTACTGATCCATTCGGCTACGGGAGGCTTGGGTATAGCAGCCATCCAAATATGCCAGGCGGTTGGAGCCACGGTATACGCCACGGTAGGACAAGAAGCCAAGAAACAGTTCCTGCAGGATACCTTTGCGATACCCGAAGAACACATTTACAACTCCCGAACCATCGACTTTGAGGCCCAGCTCATGGATAGCACCGATGGATATGGAGTCGACATCGTCCTCAACTCGCTCACCGGAGACTTGCTCGACGCATCTTGGCGCTGCATCGCCGAAGGCGGAACCATGGTGGAGTTGGGCAAAAAGGATCACATCGATCGCAATACACTCTCCATGGAGCCCTTCGCCCGGAACGCATCGTATCGCTGCTTCGATATGTCGCATAAGCATGTTTCAGATGAGGTTATTGCAGTGTAAGTACTCACTTTCTGTCGCTGAGACGACGGCCGACTAATCTTCTCCAGACTCATGCGCAAGATGATGCACATGATAGTGACGCGTGGAGTCAAACCAATCTCTCCTATTGAACTCTTCCCATACAATGACATCCCTTCGGCCCTTCGTTTCTTACGAAGCGCCAATCACATTGGCAAGATCATCATCTCGAACAAAGGCCTCGCCGATGCGGATCCCGTTGTGCCAGTGCGTCCTGCTCCGCGGACGCTACAGCTCCGCGGCGATCTATCGTACCTCATTGTAGGTGGACTCAAGGGCCTGTGCGGATCGATGGCAGTCGACATGGCTCGACACGGTGCTCGCAACGTCGTCATCATTGGCAGGAGTGGCTACGATGATTCCAGGTCTCAAGCAGTGCTGAAAGATCTTGCCGCTGAAGGCTGCCAGGTGGACCTGGTACGCGGGGACGTAGCCAAAGTGGAAGACGTTCGCAACGCATTCAAGAGCGCCACGATGCCTGTCGGAGGAATTGTTCAAGGCGCCATGGTGCTTCGCGACAAGCCCTTCGAGACCATGACACACGAGGAGTACCATGGGGCGATTACATCGAAAGTTGCCGGGACTTGGAACCTGCACAGCGTCGCCCTGGAAATGAGTCACAACCTGGAGTTCTTCACGATGTTGTCCTCCATCTCCGGTCTCATCGGACAGCCTGCACAAGCCAACTATGCAGCCGCGAACGTCTTTCTGGACAGCTTCGCATACTACAGAAGAGGTCTGGGCCTGAAGGGTAACTCGGTCGACCTCGGCGCGATTGAAGACGTGGGATACATGGCTGAGCACTCCAACCTCATCACTGCGCTCGATACTTCGGCGTGGACGCCCATTAACGAGGCGCTCTTCCACAAGATCGTGCGGTTCAGCATCATGCAGCAAGAAGACACTCCAGTCAATCCGTCTTCTTGCGCGCAGCTCATCACATCCATCGCCGTCCCGCAAGCCCCGTCGTCGCGTTTGTTGACCGATGCGCGCTTTTCATCCTTGCTGTTCGGCAACTCAGCCGGTAGCAGCACCGCTGACGCTTCTGGAGCGAACAAGGAGATTCAGGCGCTCTTGATGACTGTGAAGACTGGTGCGGAGATGCACGTCGCGTTGCCGCTGGCTGTCGATGTTGCGAACAAGCAATTCATGTTGACGCTGCGCGTCGACGAGCCTCTTGAGCCCGCAAAGCCATTGTCGGCATATGGATTGGACTCGCTTGCAGCTGTTGAGTTCAGGAACTGGTGTCGCGTTCAGCTCGGCGCCGACTTGACGACTCTGGAAGTCACCAGTGCGCCAAGCTTGTTGAGTTTGGCGGAGAAGATTGTCGCGAAGATTCAGGCAGCCAATGTGGCGAAGTAGAGGGCATATCGGAGGAGGTTGGTTGTCATAGCGCGGTGCTGGGAGAGAGAGGACAATAGAGCTTTATGATTCAACGAATCTCAGGTGTATCTTCGTGCGATAAATCGAGAACGATGGTTGTGTTGCATCGAAGCCGAGGCTCGCACTCGACACGTGACGTCATGGATCGAGCCCCTGATCTTCAACCCAAGTGGGCCTAGTGTCGCATTCCAAGGTTGGAGGCGGCCCATCAAGATCTCCAACACTTCGGCCCCGCTCGCCTTGCCTCTCACGATGACAAACTCAACACCACTCGTTGCATTCGTACTTCTTCTCCGACGTACTCGGACTCTTTGTCGTACACATCTCCAATCTCAGAGTTATTTCACAGCAAGCTTCCACGATCGCAACGTGGCAAAGAACCTCAAACTAACCGCTGTCTGCAACTTTCCTCACAACGCGTCAGGTGCAAATGATTTACTTCGATATGCCAACTACAATAATGATTTGCAAGTCCAGTTTCATGTCGCACAATCTGATATGCCCATCCTCATATCGCCCAGACACGATCCTCCCTCCACCATCAAACATCCCGTCTCACCAGGGGTAGCGGCGGTCAATGGTCTCGTTGAAGAATTGCTCAGAATGATCCTTCTTGGTGGCATTGTCGACCTAGAGCCCCGTTAACGACAGACAACGTAGTAGAGGGGTTGTCAAACTCACAATGTGCGCAGTGTTCTTGCTGCTGTCCTCGAGGGTGAGAGGTGCCTTCTCCAGACCGAAAGCGCGTGCGCCCATGTTGCCCATGTCTGTTTGGACGAGACTAATCACACGACATGTCAACTTCGGCATCACACGACATCTTGGAGATATCTTACCCAGGATGAATGCACAGCGTGATCAGCCAGTCGTTTTCCATACCCATCTTGCGGACCATGACGTTGGCGAGCGCCTTGGAGCCGGTATAGCTGATATTGGGGTAGGGAAACTCAGGCATGTTGTTGATACTGCCGCCAGCAGCGCTTATGAAGGCGAAGCGGGCCGAGTCTGACTTCTTGAGCAAGGGCAGAGTAGCCTTGTACAGTATCATGACGGAGATGGCATTGACCTGGAGAGCGTTCTCGAACTCTTCGAGCGGCACATCGGCGACAGTGTTGAGCGGCGCGATACCAGCAGCTGAGATGACGACGTCGATTTTGTCGATGCCCTTCACGGCCTCGTATGGGTCCGTCTTGGATGCCGAGTCGATCTTGACGATGAGAACTTTGGTGTTCTCGCCTTTGGAAACACTGAGCAGGGCTTGAGCACCGGCAGGATCGCGCACTGCCGCGATGAGGGTGTTGTTTGGCTGTGCGACATAATGGTCGAACATGCCGCGGCCGATGCCTGCACATCAAGTCAAATCAGTTTAGCAGTCCCAAGTAGGTCAAAGGCACGTACCGCGGTTAGCTCCGGTGATGAGATACGTCTTTCCAGGCATGTTGTCGGAGGTGCAGCGGGTATGGTGAGAATGGTATGTAGGTTGCAGTTAGATGCAGTCGGTTATAGCGCGAGCTGGCCAATATCATGGTTCTGCTCCATGGTTCTTTCTCCGTGAGTTGAGTAGCCACGTGACACTGCACGGTCACCTGCAGCCTTGTCTAGCAGGAAAGCAACATTTCTAAGCAGCGTGCACGAGCGTGGCACAGCTTGATGTTTACATTTATGATTATTTTGATGGCTCCTAATTGGCTGTAGCACACCCACCCGCGGCCCGTCACACTAATGCAAGGTCAGCATCCTGTAAGATTGCGGTCCGTGTATTACATTCTTGTGTTCGCGCTCGTCTCATGATGATCCGATTGCAATGACTTTGCGTGGTCATCTTCACCTACTCAGCAACCACCAAACGCAGTGAATTTGCCAGGCATGCTTCAAGTCAGCACTCTGCAGCTTCAGGTGCACGTTCGTACAGCTCGAAAGCTTTGATACAATATGTCTGCGCGAACGGGCTGCGGTTGAGATCCTCAGAATCCTGCCATGAATCAACTCTTCCACAACCTTGTGTCCTCGACCTACGGGCGGATTGGACTTGTGTCTAGCGTGTTCCTCACGTTATACGTACTTTACGTTTCCATCTATCGTCTCTACTTCCATCCTCTGCGGAGCGTTCCAGGTCCTAGACTTGCTGCTTTGACGCAATGGGTCGAGACGTACTATGAGTGCTTCAAGGCGCCCGGTGGTCAATTCATGTGGGAATACCAGAAATGGCATGAGAAATACGGTATGTCTACATGGTCTAGGAAGCAAATACTTTTGGCTCACCACTTCGTTGCAGGGCCTATCGTGCGTGTTAGTCCAAACGAAGTACACATCCAAGATCCCACCTTCTACGATACCCTGTATGCGCAGTCTCGCCACTCGGACAAGCTCAAGCATCTCGAGCACCGCTTCAACAATGAGATGTCTTCATTTGCTACTGCTGAGCACAGTCTTCATCGTCTCCGTCGTAGCGCGCTCAACCCCTTCTTCTCTAAACGTAAGATTACTCAGTACTCGCCTCACGTCCAGAGTCATATGGATCGTCTCTGCAATCGCATCGATTCCGAATTCGTCGCCAACGGGAAGACGATGAATCTGAATAACATGTGGGGTGCGTTCACCTCGGATATCGTGGTCGGATATTGTCTCGAGAAGCCGTATGACTTCATCCTGAACCCTGACTTTCGCGCTCAATTCTCCGACGCCATGTATGCCACCTCATGTCGCATCATACACGTAGCATGACTAACACGTTTTAGGGTTGATCTTCTCGACCCTGTTCACTTCATCACGCAATTCCCATGGATGATCAGATCCCTGAAGCTACTCCCAGACTGGCTCGTCGTGCTCCTGTCGCCGCCAATGCGCTCTGTCATGACCTTCAACAAAGAGATGGAGACGCAAATTCAGCACGCCAAAGCCGTACACGCCTCTGGAGAAAAGACAATGGCCATCCCATCTCTTTTCACAGCTCTCCTCGAGTCCGACCTCCCACCTAGCGAACTCTCCACCAAACGCCTGCAGCACGAAGCCATCTCCGTCATCGGCGCGGGCATCGAAACAACAATGTACACGCTGTCGACATGCTCGTACCACCTACTCGCCAATCCTGTGACGCTGGCCAAGCTGTGCACTGAACTCGACGCAGCGATTCCAGATGCAAATCACATCCCGAATCTCGACGCGTTGATGCAGTTGCCGTACTTGACTGGCGTGGTCAACGAAGCCCTGCGATTCGGCTACGGCACTCCTCAGCGCATCCCTCGCCTCTCACCAACACCCATGGTCTACCACACCCCCGAGGTAGACTATCAGCTCCCTGTAGGCACTATCGTGAGCATGGACCATTACACCGCCTCTCATGATCCAAGTGTTTTCCCCGATCCTTTTGCGTTCATACCGGAGCGCTGGGCAAACGATGCAAAGGCGCCAGATGGAAAGGCGCTAACAAAGTACCTGATTGCATTTGGACGTGGAACGAGGAGCTGTGTGGGCATGCAGCTTGCGTATGCGGATTTGTACATCGGCATTGCGAGTTTCTTTCGGCGGTTTGAGTGCGCGCTGTTTGAGACTGGGCGCGACGCTGTTGATCTGTATCTTGATAGCTTTGTTCCGCGCGCGAAGCCGGGGACGCAGGGAGTGAGGGTTGTTGTTCAGAGGAAGCGATAGCGTTCTTTTGTTGTTGCGCCGCGGGGGGCAGCTGGACCCGGCACAGGCCTGGGGGCCGATGATGCCCGAGGCTGTGCACGTGGACGCTAGGCTGCAGCCTTCTTCGACGCGCTGAATGCCACACAGCCCGTAACTCATCTTTCTGTGACGATAATCTGGGTTCTCATGAACGCGACAGTGCTATAGATACTGCTAGCATGCCTGCTCCAACCCCACCTCCTCTTCCATCTGCCCCAAAGCCCGCCTCAAAGGCCATAAACCTGAAAGTATCTGCGCCACCATCTCAATCAAAGCATGATCGCACTACGAATGCTCTATTACTCCCTGACCAACCCTTTAGTCCATGCTACATGTTCCTGTACGGCTCACTCATGGACCCGGAAGTCCTACAAGCGGTCCTGAGCCTCCCAGAACTCCCTACCACACGACCTGCAACCATTTCTGGCTTCAAAGTCAGAATGTGGAGTATATATCCAGCGCTCATACCTAGCGATGGCGATGAGAATGTGTCAGGCGTGGTATGGAAAGTAGAGAAGGAAGACCACTTCAAGCGTTTGCAGGAGTACGAGACTGGTGCTTACATCTGGACTTGGTGCGAGGCGACTTTGGATGACGATAAGAAAGTCCGCGAGAAGTGTCGGACATTTTGTTGGGCTGGAGACCCGGATAGTAAAGAGCTGGAAGATGGGAGTTTTGATCTCGCGCGGTACCAGAGGGTACTCAACCCGTCCGTTGTCAAGAAGCGACCTGCAGAGTCATGAACACAGATTGAAAACAGCGCTCAGAGAAGGGGTCGCGAATGCGTGCGTGAAATTTGCACATATGAGAGAGCACCATCAAGGTGTTGTGCAGCCTGGAGACCGATATGCTATTGGTGTTGTCTACATACGCCCGTCTCATCACATCGTACCATGCAGGCATCGCCTAGTTCTTGCACCTCCTCATGTTCGCCATCATTCACGACGTCTACTATAATGGCAAGGTCTGCGTCCACTTTCGATAATCCGGGTTGTTTGGATTCCAGTACGCTATCTGGAAGATCGAGCGATCGACCACATCTACATGAGGATGCTTCGAGCTGAACTAGATTCTCACATCTATATCGAGTTGGTATTGTATGTACACACGTGATGGTGTGCCAATGTACCTCTCGTCTCATGATGGTATGCAGACGCCATATCTTCGAGCATGATGGTTGTGTGTAGCGACCACGTGTGCGAACGCTGGTGTCGAAGTAAGATGTTTTGGCTTCTTGTCGGTGCGCTTGGGGGAGGTGTGTGTATCGGAAGAATGGTGCTCGTTGCTTAGACGGATCAGCTGTGGGCTGAGATATCATGAGAGAACATACACGTACCAAGGTTCCGCCGAGCTCGGCGCCGCATGTATAATTTGTAGAGAATCCATATAGTTGGTGGACATGTGACGAACAGGGCGATGATGGCAACGATGCTTTGGGTGTCGAGTGCCATGCTCCAGGAACCGGAACTGTTGACAACGACAATGACAGAGCGCTGCTTGAAGTGTATGCAGATCTCAAAACAGTGAAATATTGCGGCTGCTGCTTGATCTTGGGCATAGCAGCGAGCGAGGACTGTTATATATCATGAACAGCTCACCTGCTTAATCGATGATTACGGCCACAGCCAACCAATTCAAAATTCTAGTCCTACATGAAGATACGTAAGAGGCTGAAGGATGTCTGTCGCGGCACCGGTCTGCATGTTTCTGTCATTGTTATGAACTGCGCATGCTTCGCTTGAGCGCAGCATGCCGCCCACAACAGCCTAGTGCTCGAAAAAGATTCTGTTTGCGACCAATCATAGCATGCGCACAATTCTGGGACTCGGCCCTAGGTGTACTTTTTTGACAGCCACGTTGGCGCCACTGAGGCTTTGCTCATGACTTAGCCATGTTTGGTTTAGCTTGCTCGACTAAGGGGTCCTGCCGGAGCGCACTGCGTTTCGTCCACAGTATGAACCAAGGCATGGCCAATCATCGATATACGAGCCCATGCCGCTGCCTGCGTGCACATGACCACGAACGAACACATGCAAGCTCGAGCCAGCATGTGTAGATAAGCTAGTGTATGTACGGCCTGACCGCAAAAGAACAACGGCTCAAGCTAGCATGGATAGACGAGCTATTACTGTGTACGGTGTAGTTCGAGCTATGTCTTGAAAGCATCGGGCTTTGTTAGACAACGTAACCTTTACGACGTCCAAAGCACATCGCATGAGAGATTTTAACATCGGCCCATTAGATGGACTGTACCGAATCGCGTGACGCCTTCACCTACTCGGAGCAGTGGCGGCTGCGTACAAGCGAGCGGCCAACCCGGCATGTGCCATCGAAACATGTGGCATCCTCCAATCACCAGGTTTCTCTGTACCAGAAAGACGCAGCCTTGCAAGCAGATTGTGGTGAGCTTGCGATGATTTTGGAAGTGGCCAATGGAGTGCTACCTGCCTTGCTGCTTCCTCAAACGCCCTCGCACAGTCGGCCTCCAACTTGCTGACAATCGCAAGCAAGCTACTGTCTTGGGCATTACAGTTCTTTTTTATGTCTTCCATACCGATGCGTATAAGTCTCACGAGTTTCGCTGTCTTGCCTACCTAGGTATGATTTTCCTGCGTTTCACCGCTTACCGCTTACTTATCGCCAAGGACCACTCACTCTAAGGCCTTACTCTGGACTCCACAACAGCAATTACGCCTTTGCCAGAGACTCGAGCGATGCCTAGAAGACAAGAAGAAGAAGATTCAGAATGGACGTCGCGAAAGAAAGACGTCCTTTCGCTATACGTTGAGCAAGACAAGCCGCTGTCTGACGTCATGCATGCCATGGCCAGGCAAGGCTTTATACGAACGTGAGCGATAGCCAACACCACGAAATACCCCGCTTACCAAGATGAAAGCAAACCTCAATACGAACGATCTTTCAAAAGATGGCGCGTTTCGAAGAATGTGCGGAAAGAAGAGTGGGATTTCATCCTCGGTCGCCTGAACGAAAGGAACCGCCCGACCGATGTCAAAGTGCGCGGTGTAGTGATACCGCAGGCAAGGATAGAAAGACAAAGACTTAGGAAACGTGAGACGATTTTTGATCTCTGCAAGTCGCGTAGGTGAAAAGCCAGCGTTGTACTTTTGCAGTTACTCACTGATCAACCAGGACTGTACCCTCAGTCTCGTTCTCGAACGCCACCGCACATCGAAATCTCTACACCACCACCGGCTACAATAGACAACCACCCAGCGCTGGGCGAAGGTGCAAAGCGCCACGAGCAGCTCAACGACCTAGCCCTCTCCCCTGACAGTCCTCGAGAATCAAATCTACAGGCGTGCGAGGATGGCCATGTTTCATCACCAACAGACACTGGTTCCAATGCGGCCATTCCGGTTGACGCGATCGGTCAAGATCCAACCGAAACGCTCTTGAACGCGACATGCATGACTCCCACGTTGTTGTATCCGATGTCAGACACGTTATCGCCATCGTGTTCGGTATCATTGTACGAATATATGCGTGCAGCCATTTTCGACGGCGAGAACGAACTCTCCAGCGTCATCCCCGAAAGGGAGAGAAACATTCTTCACAACTTAGACATGAAGCCCAGAGGCACGCTTCTCCATCATGAGTACAACCAGTTCTTCCGATCATTCGTCAAGCACACACTACCTAAGGATGACCTGTACGACGTTGCGAGAGCCTTTAACACTGTCAACGATCTTGTGTTTCTTCAATTCTTGCTGTCGATTGCCAATTTAGACATGAACTGGAGATGGTTTGCCAAAAGCCTTCTAATCTATGCAGCGGGGGATGGGAACGAGTGTCTGGTATTGATGCTACTTGACGTTGGAGTCTCCATCAATGCCAGAAGAGCCCTCGGAGATTCGTCTCACAAGACTTTCAACGTCTTACAGTTTGCCATTCTCGGGGGCCACAAGACAGTGATTGACTTGTTGAGTCGCCAAGGTTCTACAATCTTCACTGGCCATCCAGCGGTCGATTCCGACTTTCTCTTTGACGCAATCACTCAGGGTACTATGGACCTAGCGAGACCATTGCTCGTGAAGGCTGCAACGCCGGGCGCCGGAACAACTCGGAAAGGAGTTGCAGTGCTTGTTCACGCTGTGGAACAGTCCTACGATAAGATAGTCGACATCCTCTTTGACGCAGGATTCAACCCTTACTCCAAATCTTATGTCGACGGGAGGGAGAATTTCAAAAGCGCTTTCATAGCCGCTCTTCATGCTAGTAAGACTAGCTACCTCGAGAAGTTTTTGAAGTTCGCTTATTATGGTCCTGCCAAAGAGCAGCCCCAACAGTGCCTACAACAGCTAACTGCTGGATACGTATTCGCTCAATCTACCGAAAACATTCACCTCAAGAATGCAATCATAGACACTGGATGGCACCCAGATGACGTCAGACTAGTTATGGGTAACGACTTCATACAGTCGTGCCTCTCTGATGCACTCGAAGCAGCTATTGAGCGCGGCGATCGCAACAGGGTCGACCGTCTCGTCCGGATAGGCGCCGATCCGAACCATCGACACAACTACCCAGATGGTACACATTCAAGGTCACCTCTGAGCCAGGCGATTGCAACAAAGGACGTGTCTATGGTGCGCCAATTGCTAGCAGTTGGAGCAGACGTCAATTTCTTGGATTCGCTCGACGAAACACCATTGCAAGACGCAGTTATCACGAGCGATCTCGAGATAGTCAGCTTATTAGTTGATGCTGGAGCGAATGTCAATCTCCGCACACGCAGATGGAACCGCAGCGCAATTGAGATCGCTGCTGGAGGTGGCCAGCTTGGAATGGTAAGATACCTCCTTGCGTTAGGAGCTGACATCCAGGGACGACACAACCGAGTCTACAGGAGGACACTGTTTAGGGCGAAACGGGCTGGATATGACTCTATAGTGGACTTACTACAAGATTGGAAGAGATCCAAATATGGAGAGCAAGACTGCGATACGATCGACAATGTCATGGAAACAATGAGGCTCGACGAGCATGGATTCCCAAGTAAGGAGGATTGGACTGAGTAACTGGAATTGGAACAACCGGAGACAGAATCTACAATATACTCCACGGATGAAGAGTAGACGCCTGACGTGCAAAGGATCGCACGCGTTCAACGTTCATGGTTCCGAAGTCGATCCACTTCGTAAGTCACCCAAACTCCAACAAAACTGGACCTGTTACCCCACAAAGTTACAAAGGTACGAACCCTACCGGACATCGCACGCCAACCCTCCGCATCACCAACACCCTCCTCACTTCCTTGCACCCCCAACCTCGTCCCCTCCCTCACTCAACGTCTACCCTTCCCCCCTCAAATCTCCCCCTCTCCCTCCCCTATCACAAACACGTGGCCATCGGCCCTAATAAAGCTTGTTTCACGCCTAGACACACCATACACATCGCTGTCCCAGAACGCGGGCAAGGATCTACATGTCACTTCGGGACTAGAATAAGGCTTGCTTTGTCCGTTGTCCGAAACGAGCTGGACAGATCGACAGGTACGGCGAAAGTCAACCGACGCGTTGAGCACAGGTTGGATGGATGGATGGATGGATGGATGGATTTGCCGTGCTTATTTTACGGTGAAGAGGGAGTGGGAAAAAGATGGGAAAAGTTTTCTTGGTCATCGGGGAGTTTGGTGGTTGATCACTGATTGTGTTGGTGTGGTTTCGCTGTGACGTCGGTGATTGCGCGGTGGTTGAGTACGGCCCCACCTGTTGCAAGTGGAGAAGATTAGTATTGCGATCGTTGGTGTTGTGCTGCCGTGAGCCGAATGAGCGGTGATACTTTTTGTGGTCGTTGCCTTGGAGTTCTGAGGGGAGAACATGTGTACGTCATTAGGCAAAGAAGCATGAGAAAAGACAATGTAAATTTGTTTCATGAAGCGCTCAAAGTAACGTCGATAGAAGCTATCGTAAACTGTGACAAAAAGGTGGTCATCAAACCACGCTCTCGCATACATACGCCTTGGTAGATGAAATCGCCGCTATGGTATATGGCCCTAAGAAGTGTAGAGAGAAGAAAATCCAGAAAGATCATGTTGCGCCTTGTCCAGAGGCTTCATGTAGCCGATGAAATCCTACTTCTTGCTCCAGTGTAACGCCCGTAAATCCCGTGGGGTCTATAACGCCGGGTATCCTGTTAAGATGTGCTCGTCGTGAAATCTAATATGTACATGGAAGGTGACATGTGATGCTGTGGTGAGGGGTTCTCAATACATCGCTTTTTGAGGCGGGTATGTGATCTCGTCTCGGTCTTTGCCTTCCTTGAGGCAGTTGCCCTGTCTTCCGACTTTTTCTTGTAAGAAATGTAGCCGTTCGGCATCGTCCTCGTCGAATGCGAAGGCGCCGTTCCAGAATCCGCAGTCGATGTTTGTGGTCTCGTTTCGGTATACGACCTGCGCTTGGGCTGCCAGATCTACTGGCGGCAGGCTATGTTCTTCGCCGAGTTTCTCTCCGATCGAATCAATCTCGCTTTTTCCTGGCATGTGGTGGAACAGCTCGGAGTTCAGTGTCCAGCACCGTAGCCCGGGGCTCGGGTATTTGCTTCGATTTCGAGGGTTGGCTTTCTGCCACTCTGGCGTGGGCGATGGCGTATTCTCTCCCTTGTTGCAGGCGTGGAGAAGGGCGACGTCGAATGCGCGGGGTCCCGACTTCTTCAGTTTCGGCGGAGCGAGATCGTTGAGGAGACGTTCGGCTGCGCGGCGTGTGACGGCGTATCCGAAGGAGCAGAGGGGGAATTTGGCTCGGTGCATGACGCGCGTTTTCTCGGGCATGCCTAAAAGGCGGAATAGGTCTTGCGTAAATGGGTGCAGGTTAATCCACGATGGGAGCGTAGGGTCTTGCCATAGGATGTGTGGCATAGCGCTCAGGTTGAAGGACTGGCGGTCAGTCTTTGGGCCGTCCTCTGTGACAATATCAAAGTAGTCGCCGCAATGGCCGAGATAGAGCAAGTCCCAGGCATCTTGGTCGCCCCAGTATTGTGTGTGGTTACTAGCGGCGTTGACGCCCGGGTGTTGAGCGCGTGGTGGAGGAAGGAGCTGGCGGGCAGCGCTTGCCGCAAGGGGTATCTGGACGCTGCGCAGGCGGATGTCCCAATCGACGTCGTCTTCGAGGATGAGAGCTGTCTCGAGGCCTGAATCTAGGAACCTAAACCATAGCGAATCAGCAGCAGCTCGATACGGCTGGATGCATGCCAAGACGGGTGGCATGCCGGCGTAGATATAACTTACCAACGCAGCGCGTTGTGGTGCCCTAACCACGCTAGTATCGATCCCTTCTGGGCTTTCTCTTGACCGTTGATGAAGCGCTGGACGTCGCCCTCTGTCCATTCTGGCTGGGTCGGGATGGTAAGGTCGATGTCGGTGACGTTGGCGGCTTGCAGGAGTGGCTTGCGGCGCGAGGAGCCGTCCTTGGACACGACTACGACGGCGCCGAAGCCTAAAGTTTTGTTGGAGGGTATCTTTGCAGGGCGCGACTCAATCGAGGACATCCATTGCAGGTATATGCGGTCAGTGTCTCTGCTGTGGTACCATATTCCGATGAGGACGAGGACGAAGAGCAGCAGCAGCGGCGTGGGCCGCTTCCTGGAGGCAAGCATGTCTAGCTAAGGTAATGGGCCAAAAGTTGTTGCTGTTGAAGGAGAGTAGCTAGACATGTCCGCGAAGTCGAGGAGGTGGGGGCACGCTATCGCAAGAACAAAGTAGGCATTAGGACGTTGTGTGGCAGGACCGAAGCAGATGGCGCTGGGCGAGGGCCATGTCTAAATGTCGCAGGTTGCGGCGGGAGCAATACGGGAGCATGCCGGGGTGTGGCACCGACATTGCGTCTTGTAACCATGTATCAGGCTACCTTAGATTATCGCGCATGCACCCGGGATTGCCGTTATTTTACGCTCGCCCGGGTGGATATAGCTTGCAGACGACGCGGCCGTCGCAGGCTGAGTGTGCGACGGCGCAGTTGAAACGGGCGACAGCACCCAGGCCTCGAATTGGAAGTACCCCAAAATTGAAAGGCGCGTCTGACCTGCCACCTGTCCGGTCGTGCTTGCGGCCGACTTTTTGTTTTATGATATGCATACGTACCGTATCCGCGTTGGCGGTCCCAACAACGGCGTCACGTGGTCGGCGTGCCGAGTCGATCTGAGCTGCGTACTCCGGGACACGCTACCCTCTGCGCTACCATCATGCGCCTCACTCAACCACCGATTACGACGCCGACGCTTACAACATTGACGACGACTAGATATTGACAACAAGTAGACGACGAATTGGACGACGACACCCCGTGACCGTTGCGCGACTTTGTTTTACAGTATAGCACTGCCTATTCCATCTCCAAGTCCGCTGCTTGCTAGTTTGTGTCATGCTGTGCGCCGCTGCACCCTGAAACTAGTCGTGCGCCGGCTGCTTGTCCTCCGCAGCCTCCCCTTCTCCAGGCCGCCCGTCCTCGATCTGCGCCGTCCACGGGGTGACCCCAGGCACAAACATCCCCTCGCAATCCACCGCACCACATGCCCGCCCACTCAGCCAGCCCATAGACATGGCCACGCTGGGCTCGCCCTCTCCCCCGACTTCTCCCTCGCGAACCATGCGCCGCCGCGGCTGGGCCAGGAAGGTGGAGCGGTACTGCTGCACCGCCGTCACCTACTTCCCGCTGCTCTTCGTCTACGGCCTGACGTCGTGGGCTGTGTGGGTGCAGGCTGGCATCGGCTTTGTCCCGTCGAAAAATGTTTGGACGGGTGCGTCTCCCTTCTGTACAATACAACCAATGCATATCTGTCCCATGTCCAATGAGAGCACTTTGAACAAACACCCAGAACGCGACTACTGACACGTCGAACAGGAAAGTTCTCGTCTGCCCTCGGCGTCTTCCTCTATCTCATGCTCAACTGGAGCTACACGACCGCCGTATTCACCGACCCCGGATCGCCGCTCAATATCAAGAATGGCTACAGCCACCTGCCGTCACAAGAAGGAGGAGAGATGCAGTACACGTCCTTCACGGTCAAGGCATCGACCGGTGAACTGCGCTTCTGCAACAAGTGCCAGTCCAAGAAGCCCGACCGCTCCCACCACTGCTCCACGTGCAAGCGCTGCGTCTTGAAGATGGACCACCACTGCCCATGGCTCGCGACTTGCGTTGGCCTGCGCAACTACAAAGCCTTCGTCCTCTTCCTGACATATCTCTCCTTCTTTTGCTGGGTGTGTTTTGCAACATCTGCGACCTGGGTCTGGAGCGAAATCCTGAGCGACGGACAATACACGGAATCGTTCATGCCCGTCAACTACGTCTTGCTCGCTGTTCTATCCGGTATCATTGGAATCGTCATAACAGGCTTCACTGCGTGGCATCTGTGGCTCACAGTCAGGGGTCAGACTACGATCGAGAGCTTGGAGAAGACGCGCTACCTTTCACCACTCCGGAGCACGATGAAGCACCAGCTCAACGACCGAAACTACGTTGAGGCGCAAGCAAATGGTCGGTTGAGCGTCGGCGACCAATTGCGCGAGATCCACGCGAACGCTCTCCCGGGAGTGACCAGACCCGAAGAGGGTGAGCAGCCTTCGCGCTCCACATCGCGTTCTCCCGTCCCCGGCCACGCGAACGGCTACTCCCACCCGCACTACCAATCCTACGAATACCGAGAACGCCAGCAGAACCAAGACCGTTACGACAGCTACCTCGACGAGCGCGACAATGAGATGCTACCGAACGCATTCGATCTGGGCTGGAAGCGCAACATTGGACATGTTTTTGGGCCTTCGCCGCTGAAGTGGTTCGTGCCACTGGTGACCACAACTGGAGACGGATGGTCGTGGGAGCCCAGTCCGAAGTGGCTGGCAGCTCGGGAGCGGATAAAGCGTGAAAGAGAAAGGGAAGAGCAGATACAAAAGCAGCGTGAGCGTGCTGCCGGTTGGGGTGTGGATACTCCTACGGAAGCAGAGTTCAGACGTCCCACTCGCGGCCCAGATGGTTGGATGCCAGGTCAATACAATCAGCCTCCACCACGAGCCACAAGACGACCAGAGTGGCAAGCACCCACTCGTCAAGGCGAGCCGACTCAATACCTCACCACCTCGAACGGCATCGCCAAAGGCCCAATCGACGGACGAAGAAGTCCGAACAAAGCCGACCAAATACTAGGAAGAGAGCGCGGCATGTACGCCGATGGTGATGTACAGCTCCAAACCATCGACAGACGGAAGTTCGACCAATACAATTACATATCCGAAGACGAAGACGACGATTACGAGGTCTCGAGCGACGAGCAAGCGGTAGACCAACGAAAAGCACGAAAAGCGCAGACCGTAACTGCACCCCCGAAAGGAACGCAAAACTGGAACGATATACCAGATGGGTTCCTAGACCCAGCACCAAAAGCGAAGAAAAGCACGAGTCGGGAACGGCCGCGGAAAAACGGCGAATGGGATGATTGGGGGACGTGAAGATATGGAGAATATAACGGATACGAAGGCATGTTGGTTATGTTGATATGTACATTTCAATGTTGCATAGCATGGCGTTTGTTGCATAGGAATGGAGTTCATGTCTAGTTCTTTGATGAATGGAGATATTCTTATTCATGGCTTTTGGTGTCTGCTGATATGACACTGTAGGCACAGTCTCGCTGATTCTGGTAGCTGGTTAGGGAAGCAAACTTGTTCTCTTGTACTAATATATATCTACATCTGTGCACTCGCATGATCATCAGGTTGAACTCACACACCCGCCCTTTTTCGGAAATCTACAAAGATCCCACGAGTTAAAGATCCCACGAGTTCAAGATCAGCGGGCATGCCTATCACAGCCGCAGAGTACAACACCTTCTACTTCATCGCCAAACTTATCCGCCAAGTGTTCCCAGGGCACAGATTGTACGTCGCCCGTGAAAAGAACCTAGCCGGCAAGGTCCTCAGCTACCACGCCGGGGTAGCCAAGTATGAAGGCAAGGTGATGAAGGAAATCATCATGGCTAGCGGCAATGCGAGGAAACGCCTCGGTGCACTAGACACGCTTTTAGGAGATCTTGAGGATTACGTGCACGACAACTTTGAGCAGATCGAGGCGGAACAGCGGGCTAGGGATGCTGAACTTGATGCTGAACTTGATGCTATGGAACCATCTAGTGAAGAGGAAGATGAGGGGGGGAAGAGAAAGGGGAAAGTGACGGGTGGAAGAGGTGTTGATAAGAAGCCCCGGTTGGACACTGACCAGTCTGTAGAGAAGGGTGAGGCGGACGGTTCTGACAAAAGCAAGCACTTGGAACAAGACAAGGATGTTCCAAAGTCAGGCGAGGACTCTTCACCAGTTCGAGTGAAGGCAAGAGCGAAGCGAGAGGATAGAGAGTTGAAGGAAGGTACAGGGGGCGGTCGGGGTGATGCGCAGACTTCCTAGTGTGTTACAGAAGTGCTTATAGATGTGATACTTCTCTTATTATCAAGTATCTGCTTGCGTACGAGTCGCACGTAATGCGGGAGGTGTAGTTAGCTCGTCGTCTCTAGGTCGCCTCTGGGTTATCGCAGTACCATAGTTCGTAGTATGTAACATATGGGAGATGCTGTTCTGCTACAAACGCCTGTGCGACTATCATGAGACTGAAATCAAGTCGGCTGAGTAATGCTAAGTTTGTTCACTGATCAGCTAGTCAAACTTATGGTGCTCTTATTATATAACGACACGCATCCACATGCTGAAATTCCAGCACCTACGCTATCTAACAACCGAGATCGGCACCGATGTCCAGTAGCATCACAGACCTCGAATTCCAGACCTTCTACGTCGTGACCAAGCTTATCGACTCCGTCTATCCAAATGGCAAACTGTACCTTTCCCACGGCTTGAGCACTGAAAGGGATTCTTACCGGTATCGTGCCGCTGTAGTAGAGTCAAAAGCAGAGTCTTCGGGCAGTATCAAGAGACGAGTACTCACGCAGGTCGAAACAGCCAAAACTCGGATTGGTGTTCTAGAAGCCGTGCGGAAGAGGCTTGAGGAAATCGCGTCCTGGAGACTCGACGTGATCGTAAGCGACAAGGAAAGAGATGATGTGGAAGAAAACGAACGGAAGAGGAAGAATCTGGTGAGTTGCGAAGCAGCGTATGAAGAAGCTAGAAGGAGAGCGGAGAGCGGAACAGGGTTGGTCTCAGCTGCAGGAGAAGCTTTGACGATGGAAGATATCGGCAGAGAAATTGGGGTAGAATTTATTCCACAGAAGCCTTGGTAGATAGAGAAACGTAGAGGCATGGTTGAGCAATAGATGTCATATTTGATCGATGTGGTGCAAAATACCGCTGGTCGAGAAGTCAGGGTCCTCACTAGCGCCGCGCGCTAATCAGATTGAAGGCACATGTGCACCTGCGATTTCGCCATCTCCATCACATCTCATGACCAGAAACCCTGTCATCAATGCGCCTGACTACTGACTGATCTCAACTTTGCAGCCGCCTTTAATCGATATGACCAGTGTCGTATCTTGCTTCTCCACGCCCACCAGCTCAACGGCCTCTCCTTTGGGAAGTTTGATACTCGCAAAGCTCTGGAGAAGTCGCACGATGATGTACCCAGCTTCCGTGAGCGCGAAGTCCACTAGAAAGACGCGCATCAGATTAGCGTCGTATCCAGTTGCACAGCCAGCGTCGGTACTTACTGCCTAGACAGGTCCGCGGTCCACCGTGGAAGGGAAGATATCCCCATTTCGCATTCGTTGCATCATGCTGCAGAGGCATGTCTTCATCCCACCTCTCTGGTCGAAACAGCTCTGCATCCATACCATATAGGTCGGGTCGGCGATGCATTGTATACACGCTAAAGGCTACCGCGCTACCTTTGGGTATGAGAACTGGTGATTTGCGGTCTGGACCACCACCCGTGGGAAGTACAGTAGTTCTTATGGTTGTGCGGGTATTGACCGGTACAGAGGGGTATAGTCGTAGTGCTGGCCTTAAGATAAGCATCTCGTCTGAGAGAAGAATTTGAGGTTAAAACCTACTTTCTTTGAGAACATTTTGCAGATACGGCATCTTCCTCAACCTATCGCGGCTAAGTTCCGAGTCTGCGACACAGACCGAGCCGATCTCCTCACGTAACTTCTTCATCACGTTTGGATGGCGTACGAGTAAGAAGCTGTTCGCGTTAGTGGGCTGTCTGCCATGGCCGGGATCGCGACTCACAATGTCCAGGAAAGAAGGCAGGCGGTGGTATCTCTTCCAGCGACTAGAAGGTTTATGATCTGACCTCTTAATGCAGCCCGATTCGACGTATGCTGCGCAACACCATCTAGAAATACATGTTTACCGCCAGCATCTGGTTCGCATCGGTTCGACGAAAGATTGCGATCGATGATTTTGTCACCGAAGTCGTGAACATCCCGGCAGGCTTGTCGGAACCCTCTACCATCCATGATCCAGAACAGGTCCTGGAGTCGATACCTTTTCACGGCCCACTGCTGGGCGGTATTGAAAGCATCGGCGAAACTCCGCTCTCCAACAACCTCCGGGCTTATGAGGCTCCGAGTTGACTCGCCAAACAAGAAGGCTGTCGTAGTGTCGAGAGTCAAGCGGAAGAAGAGCGGTTGCAGATCAACGATGCCATCGCTTTCACGAACCAGTCGAATGAGATCATCGGTAGCATCTCGAAATATGTCAAGGTTCTCATAATGCTTGTGTTGTAATTGCGGTCGCAGCATGTTCCGTGAATCTTTCCAGTCAGCACCCTCCTGCGTGAAGATACCATCGCCAAACACCGGGAACAGAATAGGTCGCCGAGGCCCAAGACCAAAGTCTATCTGCGAGTTAGCCTTTCGAAACACCAACGATTGCAACGGTCACGATCTTTACCTTTACAATTGGTGGACAAGATAGCCTCCAGATTAGCCGGCTCGATCGTTCCATACGACACCGTTCCCAGAAACCTATACTCTAGTGTAGCCCCCGTTTGCCGAAAATGGGACAAGAACAGCTCCATCAATCATGATTCAGACTCTGCTCGGAAGATCTGCTCGAGTCGATCGATACCAAATGGCCTTTGGTTCTTCAGTCTTGGGGCTGGAAGACAGCCATGGCGGTCACTAATAGCTTGGTCTTCCTTCATAAATTCAGCGTTGTAAGGACGTGTGGGTGACAAACCGAACTTACGAGGCGGCATCTTGGTCGGTGACAAAGATACTGTATAATGAGCGCAACCAGTAATGCAGCTGCTACGATAACTACTACCGGCGTCATCATGTCAATGAGATCGGAAAATGCAGCACCAAATTCGAGGAAGAGAGTAGGAGAAGAGCAGAGAAGTGGTTGGAAACAAAGATTGAGCGTTTGCGCGCGCGCCACAAGGGTGGAGTACTCCTTGTTGGGCGTTTGTGCAACGCAACACCAACACGCTATGATAGAGCAGGCGGTGGATAGGCCGTGCTTTTGACTCTCATCCTCCTAACGTCTTTTTCTGTCGCAAATTCGTCTTCAATATCTGCAGGCTTCTACGCCGCTGGAATATTGGAGGTTGTTCTGTACGTTTGGTTTGCATTTGCCGCCATGTAGAGCAAACCGTCGCATCCAGTCACGTATGTAAGGGTCGTACTTTGCCTTCTCTTAGCTAACTCACCCAAACTCCAAGCCACTATGGAAGTGAACTCCACAGTCATGGCCAAACACGTAACCGAAGCCCATCACCGCACTCTTAGCTATGTGAAGATGCTAGCTGATAGCCTCTTCGGTGATGAATTCAAGCCATCCATCCTTGTCTATCCAAGCTACAACGATACCGGTCCCAACGGATATTTGGCTATCCTTGCTGCTAGATCAACCACAGACCCCTTGAGATTATTGCCATTGCCATTTGGGGCGCCACACAGGGGATCGACGAGGGAAGAAGCATTGCTATCACAGTTACGCAGCTTGGAGGGGTGGGCAGCGCAGAAAGTTCGGGAAAAGAATCGAGTAGACTTTTGGGAGAATGTTCATAAAGGAGTGGTGGCCAGAGAGAGGGAAAGAGCAGAGCGCGCTGCTCGAGAGGTAGCAACCGAGGCGGCGTACGGTGAAGCAGATGGACGAGGTGACCTAAGAGGCATATGATAGAGGCAAGAGATTCGTACGAATATTGTGGAGAGGAATAACGGAAGAAGCTTTTGTGTTGAGATTGGAAGAGCCTTGCAACGTGTTAGTGCTGGTCAATAGCGACATATACTCTAGGCATGAGAAAATCATCTTTTGACGTAAATACCGCACATGTTAGGCGACTTCAACCAGCTCGGATCCTACAAGTGACGTACCAGACACTATTTATCTATCGTGCATTCTTACGCGGGTCTCGTATGCAGGATATGCAATCATAGCGAATCGCTTCGACGGTTCCACAAAGTTTGCTCCTCCAAATAATCTCACCCACCTGTTCACCTTCCCGCCTCATTGTACAACTAGACAAACACCTTGGTACACCACTGATCCTAGTCGATGACGCGGCTTCTTCACCGGTTTCTCGCCATAATAGACCGTCTCTAGATGTTCTCAATGTCTACACTCTTAAGTTGCAGAGATCAGACATGGATTCATTGGCAGCAAGCATGCCCGAGCGCCTCGGCCGACCTCGCGAACCTCTTCCAAATTTACGTGGTGAAGACGAAACGGAGATAAGATACCTCATCGACCTAATCGAAAGTAAGAACCAAAACCCCCAACCACATCCCATCTACATACTCACCTCCCTCCCCAGCGCAATCATGGATCCTCTCCCCTCTCAAACCCCCCTCCTGCATCCTCGGCCGCCACCCCCCACCCAAAGCCTCCGCCTCCTCCACCTCCAAACCAAAAGCCGTCGACCCCTCTCTCGCTTTCTGCGCCTCTCTTTACAGCATCGAACAAGGCGGAGTCAGAAGCCTCGAACTGGGACCTGAGATGGGTGGGAGCAGGAAAGAGGCGCTGGAACATCTGTTGGGGGTTGTGGAGATGGAGATTGGGAGGATGATGCTGAATGATGATATTCATCTGAAGAAGAAGGCGGCGAGGGATGGGGGTGGGAGTGTTGGGAGTGGGAGTACGGGGAGGGGTGAGAGGGGATGAGTGGTGTTTGGGTGGGGATGGGATAGGCCTTCGGGTTCCTTGGGGTTTACACGGTAGTATGATAGCTTCGCTTGAGAGATGCAACTGGGACTTGTAAGCTTGGCATTTTGACGTTGAATGCATTAGTCTTTTATGTCAACAGAGCAGCTGCAAATGCAAGAAGTTTCCTCATTACCGCCCATTTCGTGGGCTTCAAAGTTCGCTGCGGTTACCATCATGTCCAGATCCCTCATTTCATTATCTTCCTCGAAACCCCTCCTGCTGCGTGATCTGTTGTGATCCCAACAAATCATACTCCCCCTCTCGGGCTCCCCAGGACATCTTCTGCATTATCTTCCTGAAATCCTCCTCGTCTTCATTCTCCTCGGGCTCTCACGGTCGCTGTTCTTCAGCGTAGTCTTCTTCGCTCTCACTCTCGTGGGGTACTTCCGGGAACATTATTCTTTTTCCAGCATAATCTTCCACTGCCTCCAGCAATTTCAACAGGACCTTACTCCGCGAATCCGCTACCTGCACCTCGATCAGATCCGCCATCAGCTTCACAGGTTTTCCGCTGGATCTGTCAAACTGATGGTGATAACAAGAAATGACCCTCGCACGATATTCGACAATTCCTAGCTCGTTCTTCAGACGGCCTAATTTCACAGCGGCGGACGGGTGGGGGAACGGAAAGATGCCTTTGACCAGGAGGTTGATGAATGTGAGAGTATTGACGTCTGCCTGCGATACTGGGAGGCTGGTCATGTCTGGAGCGAGAGGCAGTAAGGTCGTAGAAGAGAACAGGAGTGTCAGTCATCTCTTGTGTTAGAAGAGAACCTCGTGCGTCTTTTACACTTGGTGACTGCCTTTTCGATTGCTATAATTGTCAGCAGCAACAAAATACAAGGCTTGCTTGACTATGGCCAAAGCTTCTTGAAGATGCTTGCGAAGTCAGAGAGCAAGCAGTCCGACCGATACATAGCCTTGAAGGGAAAATCTCCAACAAAGCATCGCACACTGTAGTCATCATGAGTACCATGGCCTACGAATCGAGCAATGAGAGTCGCCCCCACGTACCAGCACCTCCCAGCGTTCCTGCTACGCCCCTCTTGGATAGCGATGATAATCACTTGAGCTATCTCAGCAGTACAACAACCCTTTTCACCGAACCTTATGTTTCTACTAACAAAATCACAGAGTTAATCAACTCCACGTACCGCCCAGCACTAGAGCCACTGCTCCTGATGGGTAGTTACGAAAGCAGAGGAGAGGGCGTTGAGAAGTTCCGTGCGTGCGTCATTGGCTGGAACACTAAGTCAGTTGGCGGTGCAGACAGAAAGTTCCTCATTGCGCCTCAGGAAGGGCTGACTCGTCAGTCTGCGCTGTTGACTGTCATCAGGTTGGTGGAGAGTGCAGCGCATAAGAGAATGGCGGATCTGGAGGCCAAGGAGGCCTGTGACCTCTAAAGCGGATGAATGAAAGTGGTACGGTCTGCATAATCGAGGTGAGACTTGTGTAGACTTTCATAGCTTAGCTTTCTCGTCCAACAATGGTATGCCGA